AAAACGATTCTGCCGATAAATAAAGCAGACCAAAATATCGTTTGACGACGTTAAAAACGTTGTCAATTTGACATTGACCTGTTCGTTACGTGCGATGGGGCGGAAAGGTTCTGGAATGGAGGCCGCGTACCGGAAAACGCAGCGTGGGACGTCCACCTACAAGGTGGACCGACGACATCGTAAAGGTAGCAGGGAAGCGCTGGACGCAGGCCGCTACCAATCGATCAACATGGAAATCATTGGGGGAGGCCTATGTTCGGCAGTGGACGTCCTATGGCTGAAATGATGAAGTTCGTTACGCAAGCGTTCGGATACACGCTATCGCCTATCGGGTATGTTCACGGACCTCATCAAAGGAAATGGTACGTGCGCAATAGGTTATAATTATGACTTAGCCATCTTAACAGTTAAAAGTTACTTTAAAGGCGCGTTCTAATTTTTTTTAAATGAAGGATTTATTTGTTAGATTGTCGGTGTTGAAAATATAGTATTTTTGCGTACTATATATTTTTTCAACAGTATATAGTACGCAGACCCGAAATATAGTACAATACTATATATTATAGTACGGTTGGCAACCCTACGTGTAAGTGAATCGAAAATGATGCTGTAGTCCGGTCGCCGAGCCCGTACGACGGGGACGGGCCGTCAAAGTGAGTGAGCGAGCGCGACAGCAATACAATTACGCGCGAGTGATGATGGGTAGCATGGTGTCATTGGACGAAATTCTACGTGTTCGGCGACGATAAATAGAGAGAGAGAAGGAATAAAACATCAGTAAAATAATAATTAAATAAGTAAATAATTTAATTTACACGTGTTTTCATGCGATGGCCAAGTCAATATATTTATGTAAAACGTTAAAGATTTCCTGGCCTGGACTTGGTATTACATGGATCTCACAACTTTTTACCGTAGAACAACTGAGTTGCGAGACTTGGTTTTTTTGACAAGTATTGTTTTTGATGGGATCTCATTTCTTTTTGTATTTTGTAGACAGCAGTTATGTATCTAGAAAACTGGACCGAAATTGAAAAATTTTACTCGACTTGGCGGTTGCACTACCGTGCCCCCAAATATTTTAGTTTTTCCTTGATTCATACACCAAACACTACTTATATTCCAAATTTGAAGCTTCTAGGTCTGCTAGAAGTGCCTTAGAATTTTGATGATCGGTGAGTCAGTGAGTCAGTGAGTGACAAAATTAAGTAACTTTGACCCGTTATAATTCCTAAACTACTGGTTCAAATTGAATGAAATTTTAAATATACCGTGTCTTTACAATGCCTGCATAGCTAATGAAAATTCAGCCTTCTAGTTTTATCCACAACGAAGTTACAGGCAGTCGAAAATGGCCTGAATTGCTTCGAGAAAAGGATGGTACGGCCGTGCCGCTTTTTTGCTCGACTTGGTGGGGGCACTGCCGTGGCCCCAGATTTTGCCACCTAGGTATATTTTGTGCCAGCGCGGTATTATTACTCGTAAATAAATAGGTAGGTGCTATTATTATCGCGAGTGACGCGCAAACGAATGCAACAAAAAACCTAAACCTAAATCACAGATAATCCTAAATCTTAAACCTGTATGTGCAAGTCGATTAAAATGTAGGCATATTTTTGAATAAACTACGATACGAGTACGAAAAACTAAAACTGGATTTTGTATTTTTTACGAACAGTTCATTTGATATTTACTTGACTGCTCCAGAAGGAGGGTTATGTTTTTTTTACATAATAATTATTTCTGAATATTTTTATGGAAAAAATAAGTTTTTTATTGATATCTACCTTTATTACTGCATGTTTCGATATTTTCCTGTTTTATATACCTAATAAAATAAAACAAAATGGAGTTTTATGATGATAATTTGTAGCGGGATACGAACCCACGGTGCTTGATATTGAGCGTCGGCTGTGATCGTTGTGCTACTTGGACATTATTATACCGTGTCGAAATTTTCAATAGCGTCTCTAATCTGTTTTTTGCTTAGTTACATGCCTTCATAAACAAAGCAGTAAACTTATTGGCTTTAGCGCCATCTTTTGATATAGCACGCCAAATAAATACTCCGCTCAAGTTGCTAGAATAGAAAGCATTAGCGGGTCGCAAACCGCGGGACGGTCAAGTCCGCTGCGGCACACTAGCGCGATCTGTTATCACCACTAGGAAACCACGCGGGCCCGAGCAGTTTCAAGACTTAGGTCGGCCACATTTCGAGTATGGGATGATGCATCTGTACTAGTATTATATTATCTGTGCCAATACCAATGACTTCTTGTAGATATGACTTACCTTGGACAAAAATATTGCCATAACACAATGAGTCATATCTATACTATATATAACTCAAAGGTGATTGACTGACTCAGTCAGTCAGTCACCTTATAGTGATCTATCAACGCCCAGCCCAAACCACTGGACGGATCGGGCTGAAATTTGGCATGCAGGTAGATGTTATGACGTAGGCAACCGCTAAGAAAGGATTTTACAAAACACCACCCCTAAAGGGGTAAAACGGGATCCACGCGTACGAAGTCGCGGGCGGCCGCTAGTATTGATTATAAGTGTACACTTATGTAACACCCCCATCAAGGAAACCGGTAGTTTTTCCTTATCGCGACGGATCGGTATAATGAATGGCAATAGATGTGCTGCACTGAATTTGCTGGCCCCTCTCCAATATAACATGATGGATTGTCTTGAATCTAATAAATACGTAATTATTTGTTTTCGAACACTTTTCTTCCAAGCATTTGAACTCCAAATTACTTACACAATATCTACAATTCGGTTGAAATTAGGTGTTTTATTCTACTTCCTACTAATATTATATGCGAAAGTATGGATGTGTGGATGTTTGTTATGGTGGCCATACACGTTAGGGTTTGCATGATGGTTTTGACCGTACATGCTTAACCGACATGCAAACCCTAGCGTGTATGTTATAAAACTGTACAGTTATTGGTGCGTGTACATGCAACCTAACGAATATCAAAAAAGATATTTTTGCCGCTCGGTTATGTTTGCGCACATGCATAACCGAGCGTGTGTGCGCCCGTTCATGCTTGCATGCACAGTTTTCTCTCAGTCTCCTATAATCTGTGGCAGTGAATGGTGGTGAATATTTAAGACACTCATGTGTTCTTCCTGTTGCAAGAAATCTTAATGTTACTGCTAGGTTTGGGATGTGCGTTGATAGATCACTATGACAGCCAGTCAGTCACCTTTGAGTTAAATAAATTTAGATTGTGCATGCAAACCCTAACGTGTATGTGCTATAGATAACTCGGTTATACCTGTCGGTTAAGCATGTACGGTCGTAACCATCATGCAAACCCTAACGTGTATGGCCACCATTACAATATTATTGTTTGTAACCCAGATTAACATATCCTACTAATATTATGAATGCGAAAGTTTGGATGTGTGGATGTCTGGATGTTTGTTACTCTTTCACGCAAAAACTACTGAACGGATTTTGTTGAAACTTTACAATATTGTTGAGATTAACATATAGGCTATAATTTATGCCAATCTGTGACACTAAATTTCACGCGGGTGAAGCCGCGGGCAAAAGCTAGTTTACTAATAAAAACATTAAAGGTGAGCCCAGTTACTGAAAAAAAAATATTTAAAAATTCAAACCAGCGACTTGGCCCGCGGACCAAGCTAATAGTGGGCCAAGTCACTGGAAGACTCCTCTGGTTCGCTTAATTGTCCTTAGTATCCTTTTACGAAATCACCGGGAAAAGTTTAGTGAGTGGTCCTTTTTTGGTAAATTACTCAGTAATTGATTTTTCAGCAGGTAATTTACACAGCATTAATATTTTAGTTGTAAAAGACGTCTCAAATGATGGCTGTCATGTTTAACTTCCCTGGCTCATCCAATTACAAGAAATAAAATTAATCTGGAACTCCAAGGAATGTCAAAGAAAATGAACTTTTAAAATATTGAGCTAAGCGGCTTACTGAAAAAGATTTTTTAGATTAAAAATCTTAATTAACATTTTTAAGATTAATTAGTTTGGTTTCTCCAAAATTCATGGACAGATTTTTTTGACATTATAATGAAACGTCGAGTTATTTTTCATAATTTATTTATTTTAAATAATTTGGTTTGTATAGTTTTGTACATTTAAAAAACCCTTAAAATACCAATAAATTATTAAAACTAAAATAAATAGTTTCTTACCTATTCAATAAATTAGGAAAAGCTTTCTTATTATTAAGAATTAATCTAATAATAAATTATTAAAATCTACCAATTGGCTGAGAACTCAGTCTGTAAGCAAGACAATTTAAAAGACTGTCATAATATTATTCACTGTCTCCTGTCTTCATATAATATCATTATAATAATACTGTTTAACATAATACGAGTACGCTCTAAATAAAAATAAACAGAACAGCATTACTATGTATTTTTCTTGTTGTTATTTAAAACATTAACATTAATTGAATACTGAAAAGGTACTGACGTAAATAAAATTATGTAACATTGTCATTTACAAATAAATATTTCATACATTCTACTAACAAGTAATACAACCGCGAAAATAAGGACAATTGAATTTTCCCAAGTCAATGTAAAAGTTGAAGAACATTCAAGCAAGAAATCATAATTTAAATACATAATTTAGATGGCGTTTCATGAATAACCACCAAATCTATCACTTCCTTAAAAAACAACATTAAATGCAAGGTTTGCAATGCGATAAAGTATTCTTTTGGAATAAAAATTTATATCAACTAAATATTTCTTAGACAAACTAATTTTGAATATATTTTTATCTCTCATTCCTAATAACTAACATAGTTTAAATTAGTTGAGATAGTTATTAATTACAAACAGGCTTTCAATAAATTCTAATCACCAAAGGTAAACTCAACAGTCTAATTTCTCGTCAAAATATCAGAACTGAATACATAAAGTTTGTAATAGCTAAGGAAAGTGGTTTTCAATAATATACTTGTAATTATACAATAATAATTATGAATACTCGTAGTTTGTACTCTAACAATAGGAACTAGCCACTGGCTATTTGTAGTGAGCAATGTTTTGGTTTGAAATGTCTGCTGTAAAATTAATTTCAGGCGTTGCTAAGTCTGTTCTAGAATTCAAGCTATGTCCATGCCACTTTAGGTCAGATATTTATTTCACTAATGGTTGCAACTAAAATGATAAAATTTTAATAGTGACAGTTTGTCATAATAATATGGGATTGTTGCAAGAATAACTTAAAGAAGTACAGTCTTTGTCATAAGTCTTTGTCCTAATGAGTACAAATAAGTAATCGCGTAGTCAGAATCAGTGTCAGTCGTAGTCTTGTCTCTTTTAGTTTACCAAAGAAAGAAGAAGATAGAGAATGAGTATTATAATGGACGAAGCACATTTATCATCCCGAAAACGGATGGTAACCGTATCAACTCGAGGCGGTCAGTATTCTTTGTATGAAACTCCGTACTGCAACGCGCGCTTATCCGCACTGTAACGTACACTTTGCGAAAAGCGATACGGAGATCCCTTTGCGGGGTAATAAATGTGCTATGACCTTAAGAATCGTTACTTAGATCCGTTTACTTAGCAGCTCCAGGCGCGGTAATATAAACAGGTGCGGGCGTAGGTCTATGGTACTTCGGCATGTTGTATGCTCGGTTGGAAGCCCAGTCCTTGTTGTATCCAGCTCCTGATGAGTACGCATACGTACTCCCGTAGTCCGAATTGAAGTCAGACGCGTCGCTGGACCCGAAGTAGGAGTAGGAGTGCGGGTGGTGGTGCTGTGAAGACAAAAATTACAAGTATAATACTCATATTGGCTACAGAATATTGCTTTGAACGTGTATATTTGTCGAGATAATACTATTCTCGTAAGGCCCACTGTGGGACGTCCACAAAGTGGACCGACGACATCATAAAGGTAACAGGAAGGCGCTGGACGCAGGCCGCTACCAATCGAGCAACATGGAAATCATTGGGAACTATTTGGAAACCTATGTTCAGCAGTGGACGTCCTATCGCTGAAATGATAATGATGATGATGAAGGCGCACGGACCAGTAGCAATAATTCACTATATGACTATAGTAATTTAGACCTAACCCTTTTATACGACATTATAGTATGACTAGCATGCCCAAGATGTTTGATTTTAATAGGAACTCTGACTTTTGGGACTGAATGTCTTGGCGACCATTATAAATACCAAAGACCACCTTGTTGGTTAATTAAACGCTAGTAGAATAACTGTTCAGAATATAAAAATAGTATCAATCGCGGGCCCAAAATAACACCAAATTACTTAAAAAAAGCCGCACGTAATCGATCATAAATCAAAGCATTGTACGTATTGAATTGATGGCTATACATTACAGTTCGTAGGCCTAGTATACAGGGTGTCCCAGAATGGGTGAATCAAACTGATAGGGGAGGTAGCTCTACTAATGCACTATCCCTAAAAAATATGAAAAAAATAAAGCGCATAAGGAACCAAAAACATTTTTTTTGAGAAAGTGAAAATAAATCAGCTTTGCCTAAGTATCTGGCTATAATTGCTGCGTTTGGAGTTTATTTGTACTTTTTTCTTACTAATATTAATTTTACATGATCGCTTCGTTTAACTATAAACAAACTTTTGAAAATAATGACTAGATTTCGAGTTTAGAGCACTTTATTTAAAAAAAAATTCTGAGCTCAAAATTTTTTTTTCATATTTTTTTGGGATAGTAGGTACAATAACACCTCCCCTAGCAGTTTGATTCACCCATTCTGGGATACCCTGTATGTTATTGTTTGTTGACATAATCAACGTAGGTACTGAAACTTTTTGATTATTCAATCTGGGGGCACGGCAGTGCCCCCACCAAGTCGAGCAAAAAAGCGGCACGGCCGTACCATCCTTTTCTCGAAGCAATTCAGGCCATTTTCGACTGCCTGTAACTTCGTTGTGGATAAAACTAGAAGGCTATTGACTTGGCCATCGCATGAAAACACGTGTAAATTAAATTATTTAGTGCGATGGCCAAGTCAATAATTTATGTAAAACGTTAAAGATTTCCTGGCCTGGACTTGGTATTACATGGATCTCACAACTTTTTACCGTAGAACAACTGAGTTGCGAGACTTGGTTTTTTTACCGACTTCAAAAAAGGAGGAGGTTCTCAATTCGACCCGTATGTTTTTTTTTTTTCTATGTTTGTTACGCGATAACTCCGCCAATTATGAACCGATTTGAACAAATCTTTTTTCGGCGTATAGGTAATACCTCAAGGGTGGTCCCATTTAAATTTAATAATAGAAAAAACAACCCCCAAGGGTGGAAAATTGGGGATGAACTTTTTTAAACGCAATATCTCCGCCGATTATAAATCAATTTGAACGATTATTTTTTTGTTGAATAGGTATTATCAAAAGGGTGGTTTCATGCGAATTTGAAGAAAATATTTCACCCCTAAGGGTGGAAAATTGGGGATGAACTTTTATGTAAGCAATATTTTTAATTTATAGTTTTTTTTTGTGTTCACGCATTTGAAGTCGGTTTTATTTTTTTAAAAAGGTAATTATTTGACAAGTATTGTTTTTGATGGGATATTGATTTTCCGATTACAGCATGCAATATCGTCATTAGGGAACTTTGTAATTATACACAAATGACTGAGATGATTAAATATAACTTTACGTAGGGGACACCGGGGTGAGTTGTAATAGAGGAGAGTTGTGACATTGTAGATTTTTGGAACTTATTAACTACAGTTATGGAGAGGGCTATGCTATGTGTTTCTTTGCGAGATCGATCAGAAATGAGAAGATCCGTAAACGAACCAAAGTCGCTGACATAGCCCGACGGATTAGCAAGCTGAAGTGGCAATGGGCAGGGCACATAGTACGCAGAACTGACGGCCGATGGGGCAGAAAGGTTCTGGAATGGAGGCCGCGTACCGGAAAACGCAGCGTGGGACGTCCACCTACAAGGTGGACCGACGACATCGTAAAGGTAGCAGGGAAGCGCTGGACGCAGGCCGCTACCAATCGATCAACATGGAAAGCATTGGGGGAGGCCTATGTTCAGCAGTGGACNGGCACATAGTACGCAGAACTGACGGCCGATGGGGCAGAAAGGTTCTGGAATGGAGGCCGCGTACCGGAAAACGCAGCGTGGGACGTCCACCTACAAGGTGGACCGACGACATCGTAAAGGTAGCAGGGAAGCGCTGGACGCAGGCCGCTACCAATCGATCAACATGGAAAGCATTGGGGGAGGCCTATGTTCAGCAGTGGACGTCCTATATGGCTGAAATGATGATGATGATGATTAACTACAGCAAGCTCGTATCAGAATAGAATAGATATATCTTTACTTTTATCAGTGCGCGTTTTTACCCGACCGTACCAGAAGGAGGGTTATGTTTTTTAGTTAGTTAATAGGTTTCCAAATCGACAATGTCACAAACAACTCTCCTCAGTACCATCTAGCACGAAAAACTTTCGACTTCGAATCGTTTGCGTTCGAAAACGTTATCGTTAAATTCGAAGGCTGCGTATCTAAGTTAGTCGAATAGCTACGCAAACGATTCAAAAACGAAATTTGTTCTGTTACAACTGTCCTCAGTCTCCTTTAGTTTCAGAAACGCGTTATTGTAAAGTTTGTGCCGTATCAAAAAGACGTCAAGCAATTTGTAACCAATTTAGGAGTTTGAACTAGTTTTGCTTAACAATTTTAGATACTTAAGGGGAGTACTTTAGCGATACCTTTACCTTTAGTAAAGGTAGGTAGGTAACAAAAGTTTTTATGTTTATTTTAACTTAGGCATTAGATACACTGCAGTCTTTTAGTCAGTTAATAGTTTGGGCAGCTTTTGATTTGTATTCCCGACCAAACCATCGGCCAACAGAAATTCTGTACCTAGTCTTATTTTGTGATGTAGGTAATACTATGAAATACGTTGTGATGCAATACTATACTTAAATTACGTATGTAATTGGCGTGTTTTCCTACAAATCTTCTAAATATACAAAATTCACTGACTGACATAGTGATCTATCAACGCACAGCCCAAACCACTGAACGGATCGGGCTGAAATTTGGCATGCAGGTAGATGTTATAACGTAGGCATCCGCTAACAAAGGATTTTAAGAAACTCCACCCCTAAGGGGGTAAAACGGAATCCACGCGTACGAAGTCGCGGGCGGCCGCTAGTAAACTATATTAATGACCGTCAGGAACTCTACCTGTATCGATGATCTTCAGGCGAGTTCCTTCGAGTACATTAAGTCTTGGCTTGACTACTGATCGATCCTACTGTACTGACTGTCGCTCTGTAAAAGATAAGAAAAATACTATTGGTTCATTTGTTTTTAAACATCATCAGGTAAAATGAGGATTTTGAACAGGAAAGGTTTCGTATTAATAATCCAGCTACCCATTTCCGGTAATGTCGTCTCGTTCTATCGCAAAGAATCACCATTTGATAAGAGCGAGAGAAAAAACAGAAATGGGTAGCTGGAACGTGGTACCTACCTTTCAACGAAGAAAATACACCAACTAGGTATACGTTCATTCTCTATCTATTATAACGGTATGTATACTGTTGTTAATTAAGCAAAAGAAGGCTAAAATACAAATTGAAAATCTACAATGACAAACTATGACAAAAATAATAATGAAATAGCAACAAAATAAAATCTATACTAATATTAAAAATGCGAAAGTAACTCTATCTGTCTGTCTGTCTTGCTTTCACGCCTATCCCACTGAACCGATTTTGATGAAAGGCATAGAGATAGTTTGAGTCCCGGGAAAGGGCATAGGATAGTTTTATCCCGGTTTTTGAAACAGGGACGCGCGCGATAAAGTTTTTTTGTGACAGACAAAATTCCACGCGGGCTAAGCCGCGGGCGGAATGTTAGTATATTAAATTATTTCAACTCTGTTTACTTTGCAGTACGGCCATCTGACAGGCAAAAAGACAGTGTAGGTAGATTAATAGGGTCCCCCTGGTACCTTTTGGGTACGGAACCCTACAAATCAAGGTGCTCGGAACAACTTGTTTGTAATTCAAGATCACACCCGAGGGACCTAAAGGTGAAATGAATTATTAAATCCAAGGGCCTATTTAATTACTCGTAAAAATGTTATTCATCATACTTACTTATTATCTTGTAACCTTCGTTAACGTGAAATCTTTCCGTATATTTAACCGACTTCGAAAAAAGGAAGAGGTTTTTATAATTTTTACAATCAATTTACAAGTAAAGATACGTTTTTGGTAAATAAATATAATTAATTTCTATCTTTATAATATTATCTTTAAAAGCGATAGGTCACTGACTGATTGACTGACTCAATCACTCATTACAAAATCTTAGAAACAACATGTGGTAGGAGTCTCAAATTTAGCATCAGGGTTCCTTTTAGAACATAGGTATTCACTAAGATTGGATTTTTGCAAAATTCAGCCCCTAAGGGGGTGAAACGGAGTCCACGCATACGAAGTCGCAGGTTGCCGCTAGTGGTAAATATTTCCTGGCATAATATAGAAGGAATTCCTTATCCACGAGTACATGATTGATAACATAACGTAATTATTTATGGCATGAACGAAAATAATAATGTAATAATCCCCTATCAACCTTGACACCAGAGGGCAAAGGCTCAATCAGACCAACGGCTTTTGCCCTTCGAAGTACAACCTTATTATCGCAAAATAGCTCTTGTCACAACTACTTAAGATGCTTTACTGTATTCTTGATGTGCTTTTGTTTGAATAGAATGTTCTAGAGA